TGTTGTAAAGCACATTTTAAAAGCTTTTAACATGTATATTTAATTTATTGAATATTATATTCTATAAAAAATGTTCTAGGGGATTGGCTTTACCCATATAATAGTTTGTATTGTCTTAAAAAAAAGCAGTAATATAATCAACTGAAATCATCACTCCCTTATTTAGCCACTTATTATGGAAACAGGAGACACTATAACAACCATCTCCATAGATAGATAGACAGATATGGATCATACTTAAACACTACTATTTCTCCATCGTTGTACATTATATTTTACGACTTGTAGTGTTTAAGTATATCCCATTAACCGTACTGACATGTTCCTTCAACACTCAGTGCCTTTGTCCCTCAGCTAACTGTGTCCAGCAGGTGGCGCTGCTGCTCCACCAATGAGCTGCAGCCTGGCTCAGATCACTGCTGCTGCTCAGGTTGGTGAGATCAATGTTCATTCAATCCATCATACCAAAATAAAACGTCCTGGTACCGATGTGAGGTATGTGTGTTCAGCTGTTGTCAGGTTGTGTTGACAGCACGCTGAGCTCGTCATGCAAATAGACTCTGCACATTGTTCCACCTGCTAAACCATACACAATGCAATCTATTGATTTATCTTCCATGTGAGTGTGTGTTGCCCTTATGTGGTAACGTAAGAGCAGTGGTGGAAAGTAACCTAGTATATTTACTCAAGACTAAGGTTTTCATTTTCCTTGTACTTCTACTAAACTTTATTCCATATGCAAATAGTGTCCTTTTTTAATCCACCACATTTCTCTCAAAAAGCATGGTACTAGTCTTTTTGTCTGTATGTTGCGATAGTATTACAAATGATTGACAAACTCATCATTTATGATGATTTATGATGTATTAAACTACCTTGCAGACTATAAAATAGTCCCATACATACCCTTAGCAGCTGCAACATTAGGGAGACTTACACATGTAAAGCCTCAATAATTATAATGAATGATGTTAATATATATTACAAGTATGAAATGGGCAATTCTGCATTATGAGTGGTTTTACTTTGTACTTGTGTTTTTTATGCAATCTTTTACCTGTGAAATAGGATTTCTACTCTGAGGTATTCATTATTTTACTTAAGATAAAGATCGGAGTAGTTTTCCACCTCTGGTTAGGATTGATCAGGGTAACTCAAGTATAAGCAAATCAACCAATGTGAATAATTAAATGCAATGCTGTTTGTGAGATCCAAACAGTTCAGGCAGCAGAGGCAAAGCCATGCTGTAAAATACTGCTGAAAAATATCTTAAGAGTTTAGATTGGTTCATGGGTTCCATCCAAAGCCCTAAGGTGAGTATATGGTAAAAATAATGTAATCTTAGCCTTATTGTTTAGATTATTTTCTCCATAACCCTTTTAGACAGTGTGATCTCTCTCTGTAAACCCTAACTAATGTCTCCTCATTCTTAAAGTGACATCCCCCAACAGGACCAACAGGCTCCAGCAGAGGCAGCAGTTGTGCTCCGGCTGCAGCCCACCAGGTGCTGCTCGGCCCAGCGAGGGTCTCCAGTTCCAGCTCCATGTGCTGCCAGCTCCCCTCGCTTTCTCTGTATCTGCCCGAGCTATTTGAGGAACTACAGGGACTTGTGGTTGGCTTGTCCCTTTAAAAAAAACAACAACCTCACATTCAAAGCCTTATTTCTCCAAAGATAAGATACCCAAAATAATGCATGCAACTAGAAAAAGTATTCTAAAGTATAAGTCAATTTGGTGAAGCTCAACCGTGCCACAGCAGCATGGTTTGTTGAAGATCATGCAGAGGTTTACTGGTGCAGAGTCTTCAGTCCCACTGAAATAACTGTCAATCTGAGACGCACAACTTTGTTAAATGCAAATGCACTGCACAGGCACAACGGTATATTTAGTTTTCCTTTAAAAATAAAGAAATGTTCACCTCTTGTTGTTCCTGTCAACCATTAAGCAGAAGGCCTTCTACCACAAGTGAATTCAAATGGATTTCTATTTTTTAGATGTTCCAATTGTCTCATCAGGAGCCTTAGAAAGCAGCATTAGAAAGCAGTGCTCACTCAGCAATTACTGATTTGTGCAGCATATCACTGACATGATGAGGCTAAACAGGAAGAGGAATATGTCCTGAAACTGGATGGGATCAAATCACATAATTAGTACACATTTCAGCAAGTTTGTCTCAAACAACAACAGTGTGAATGTAAATGTGGACACCAGAATGAAAACAAACTTGATAAAACTATCCCTATAGTACTTTTTTACCTGTCCATTAACAATATCTCCAGTACCAGTATCCTCAGACTGTCTTCACTGTAACACCTGAGATAGAAAACTAATCTCCAAAATCTCCAACCATCCTCTTCCTGTCTGTTCTCGACATTCATCACAGGAGCCTCTGTCGTTGAGCACGCTGTCACACTTAAAAAGGTAGGACACTCGTGTGCAGCAAGTGTATTGGTCCCAGCGATTGAATGCCGAGGCTTGTGCTATTCTTACACTTTGTCTGTCACTCTGAGCCTCTGTGCTCTCCTGAGGGAGACAGGGAGAGAGTGTGTTGACTGAAAGGAAAGTCTACCTGAGTAGCAAGGTAGAGTCTGAGCATGCTACAAGAAAATCAAACTCAGTTTATCTCACCCTCTCAACTTTTCTCCCTTCTCGCCCACATTTCACTGGCTTAATACTACCATTATAAGTCATACATTAAAAAAAAAAAAAATACTCTAGGAAATACCACCAAAAATTCCTCTCCTTGTCCAAAGTCTCTCGTTCAACTGGCAGGATTATCTTCTGACAAACTTAACTCATTTTTTCTGCCACCTGCTGCGTGCACATGCCCTTTCACCTCACTCTATCTCCTCCCCTTCCACTAGTAGATTTTCCTGGAGACTCCCATGACTCTCCTCCCCCTCGGCCCCTCTGAACCCCCCCCCCCCCCCCACACCTCCCCACCATGCCCGTCTGTCTCTCACTCCCTGACAACTGCCAACCCCTTTACATTTTAGGCGTTTCGCATGCCCCTGGATCCGAAATGGCTCACAACAAGTACATAAAAGTAGCTCTACCTTGCTCGGCAGCCCCTACACTCCCTAACCCCCTCCCACAACACACACATGCACACCCCTTCATGCACAGAAACAATATTCATGGTAAACTTGCAGGGCCAATTAAGGCAATTTTACATTACTGCCCACCATATATGCCCCAATAAAATAGGTAGAGGATGCATAAAGACTTTAATATGTTTGCCTATCATTATCTTCGATCTCCTTAAATCTGTGTTTACAAGTCTGATCAAACACTCTCAATTCATACTGACACTTTCTGTTGCTGCCATAGAGAGATTGGAAGTTATTGGAAGGTCCCATGTTAACATTTGTAGAATAAAAATAAGTCATGTCAGTGTTTGTACCAATAATTATGACTGGCAGTTTTTCATTCATATTTTTTTATTTGCTTACGTCTTTTTAGAACATGGAACATTAAATGACAAACATATTGTTGAATAAAAGACGACACAAAATATCTCTTTTAATGAACATAAAGTTCCAAAGATGTTGATTTTATTTTATTTTCCATTTTATCTCACCTCATGGCAACATTATCTGCTTGTGGCAAGGAGTCCCCAGTTGTGTCATTATTATTATTATTATTATTCGAGTTGCCTCTCCTCTGTTTGTTCCTTTTAATTGACCAAATCAGGCCTTTTTTTCTTTAAATTCACTCCCCCATGTTCCCACCATTCCTCACTTTTCTTTGAGTTTATTAAAAGCTCTTACTTCCTCTTCCACTCCTTCTGGTGTGTCATGCCACAACACACACAATCATATATGTGCATGCATGTACACACACTCCATTCCTCACTCCTATGTACGCCAAACATTCGCACATGCGCACGTGAACTAGCTCCCCTCCTCCATTTAGAGTTATAATTAATCTAACTGCTCCAGTGACAGAGCAGAGTAGCCCCTGCAGATAACGTTTCAGCTGTTGGCTGTTTCCCTGCTAACCTCCTTATTTATTAAATAAGACTTAGGCCGATGTGGATATGAGACCATGTGCTCAACAGAATAACACCATTTGAATTCATTGTTAAAATTCTTCTTTTGGCCGTGCAAGTGTTAGATATTTAAGATAGGAATTCCAGCTTGCAATCTCTTGATATGGCAGAGCAAACTCCTCTGTGCACAATCATAAACATTATTATTCACTTTTGATCATAACATGTTATGTCACAATAAAATAGAGACAACACTCACCATTTTTTAATAAAACAAATGTGTTTTGTTTATGGCTCCATAATTGGCTCAAAGCAATGCAACCTAGAGTTTATCAGGCTGCAGCATTTAATGCAATAAATAATGTACTTAAAATATTACTACTCAAATGATATGATTGTAATGGTGAATCAGCAAATATTTTTGCTCATTATAGACCAATTGTTCATCCTCAGGTTTTTTCTTTAAGTAATTATGTGTTATATTGTATTGATCACCATAATGTGAATAAAACTCATAATTGCCACTCCGATGCTGCGGCTCCGCTCCTGGTCGGGCTGTCAGTCAGGAGCCGGGTCCTGGCTCTCTCTGGGGTCTAATTCTGTTCAGATGAGGGCAGCATTTTCCCATTTTAAGGCTGGATGAGGCCTACTAGCAGCAAATCTATAACTCTGGTTGGTAGCAACTGGCGTCTCCCCGAGAAAACCCCCACTGAACCGGGCGCTCCTTTTACGGCCCTCGAGGTGGGACCGCGAGTCTCGATGGGAGGTCAAAGCGACAGTTCCATATATGGCGCGCGCTCTCTCCTTCTCGGGGGCGCGCAGCGTAATACCGGACCCACTCCTCAATCCTAATGGATGGAGGTCCCTCCTTTCCTCTTCGGGGCGCGCCCCCCCCCGCACGCCTCACCCTCGGCCTGTCAGCATCCTAATATGGCAGAGGGCCGGGATGGGGGCCGTCCTAAGGTTTGTGAATGGTGGAGGTTGGGTATATAAGCTGGACAGCTAGAAGGAAAAATTGTATCTGGTTCAGCAACAGTATTGGTTGGGTTATCATTTCACTCGAGCCTCAGACACTCACCTAAGGTAAGACCCTGCTGGGAATCCTGAAGCCAAAGGTTGGGACTCAAGAGTAGGACTTAATACTGGAACATCTACTGGAGCAGGAGTTAGGACGCCCAGGACTAGATACTGCAGGAACATGGGCAACTCCACTGTAGGACAGACTTGATGCTGAAGGAGAAGGGAAAAAAATAATTTTAAATAGTTGTAAGGCTGAAAACTTTCATAGAAAGACAGTGCTGGATAGGAGAAGCTGTTAACTACACTATTAGGTCTGGAAATTGATTTATTCATTGAAAAGATAAATAATTATTGACGTCAGCATCTTTATAAGTGTAACACAAAATTGTGCTGAGTCAGCAAGACACAATGTGCCTTTATATTAATTAAATTAACAGAATATATTTTACCTGGGACAGGTGATAATTAAATAGTGAGAATGTTTGTAAATTAATCTGAATTTCAGCACAAATTTGATTCTTTTTAGCTTACAGCAAATTTGGAATACAATAGATACAGAGGATACATAGATGCGCAGTAGAGAATACTTATCAAATTAAGATGCATGACTGAAGGAAAACAGTAGTGTAGTTCTGTATCACTTTAATGTGATTTTCTAGGTTTATGCATTCGTAAGCACCATGCGTAATGGCCTGGTGTCAGTGTGCCATTGACACATTTAGCGCAAAGCATGGGCCTGATCATGTTCATGCGCCAGTGTCTGTTCCAATTACTTTCCAGCAAAACTTATTTCTCCAGTAAAAAAATATAGCCTTTATAATTACATCTGGCGTAAACTTGCAGGAAACAAAAGGGTGAACCAAGGAGTTAGTTTTGGGGATATTACTGTCACATAGTAAATATCGCCATGTGGATTTGATTGAGTGAGCTCAACTGTTTTCCCCCCTCTCCTCTTACAGCAGCCAACATGTGTGACGACGAAGAAACTACCGCCCTTGTGTGCGACAACGGCTCCGGCCTTGTGAAGGCTGGCTTCGCCGGAGATGATGCCCCCAGGGCCGTCTTCCCCTCCATCGTTGGCCGCCCCCGTCACCAGGTAAAGAGCCGGGGATATCCCAAACAATAATAGGAGAATACGTTAATATTGTAATTTTTACTTCTCATATAGTAATCCAATACAGAGTAAAAATAATTCGGTTAATAGTAATATAACAAATCAAATCAAATTAGCCATTCTTTCAGGCACTATTTCGGCAAATAATTCATACTGGATTTAATAACAACTATTTGCCAGAAATTATCATATTTCTGAGTTATAATTTAGCCCTTTTGTCCAGTTAACAACTGTGAAGCCAAGAGTGTGGCATTATGTATCTTGAGTCATGTAAATGTGGCTCATACCACCAGCTGTACCACCAGCAATGTGGCCTTTGACACTTTGAGACTAAATTAGTCACAGAAGAACTGACAGTCACACAATTGCTCTGTGTCTGTCTCTGTGACCCACGCTGTTATTTGGCACATTTACGCAATGGTCAACGTGCCTTTTGCATCACACTGTAAATACTTTAATCTGGCCATAAGAAGGTCATGTCTCTGTTTGTGTTATTTGAAGTAACCTTTCCATCATCTTGCCCTCTCCTCCCCCTTAGGGTGTCATGGTCGGTATGGGTCAGAAGGACTCCTACGTCGGCGACGAGGCACAGAGCAAGAGAGGTATTCTGACTCTGAAGTACCCCATCGAGCACGGTATCATCACTAACTGGGATGATATGGAGAAGATCTGGCATCACACCTTCTACAATGAGCTGAGAGTGGCACCCGAGGAGCACCCCACCCTGCTCACTGAAGCCCCCCTGAACCCCAAGGCTAACAGAGAGAAGATGACCCAGATCATGTTTGAGACCTTCAACGTCCCAGCCATGTATGTGGCCATCCAGGCTGTGCTGTCCCTGTACGCTTCCGGTCGTACCACCGGTGAGACTGACAACAACAAACAGCTGCTACTCAACTCCATAAACATACACAATACAAAACAGAATATAATGTAACTGATACATTAATATTACAATTGCAACACATACAACTCACTGAGTTATTCCCCACTGTGCCCATTTTGCGCACAACTATTACGCACAGTCGGCCAGCGTTTCTGGGACTGTTCATGCTATTTTATCAACCCTTATGCCCTTACCCTTATGTATGTTTGTAAATCCTCTTTAAACATTATTTATAACCACACTTTTACGCACACAACACTGAACTGTTGGATGATTATTGTCGCCGAGTATTCAATACTTTACTAAAACACTCACTTGCCTCTCTTTAGGTATTGTGCTGGATGCTGGTGATGGTGTCACCCACAACGTCCCCGTCTATGAGGGTTACGCCCTTCCCCACGCCATCATGCGTCTTGACCTGGCTGGTCGCGATCTTACCGACTACCTGATGAAGATCCTGACTGAGCGCGGCTACTCTTTCGTGACCACCGGTGAGGAACTCAGCCAATAACAAAACACCTACAAGAAAGGAAAAAGGAAGAAATAAAAAGAAGCAAACCATTCCCATACAAGTTTATAGGCAAAGAGACAGAAAGTCGAATCTAGATTATCATGATTTAATTTGTATACTGTTTTGGAACAGTTTGCTATACATAACAACTTAACTTGACAGAAACTTGATCAGCAATTTAAACAAAGATTCACCCACAGTTTTGCAGAAAGACAAAGATTAAAAACGTGTGTAGTTCAGATTGTGTGGACACCGATTGTGTTACCTACTGCCTGTATAGCCGAATGTGCTGCTAAAATGGGCACACTACTTTGAATTCTAAATAAGTATTAATAGACAGAGAAAATCATATGTAGCTGTGATAGGGGAATTGTTCATTTTCAGCTTCAGACTTTTCGGTAACTCTCGTAGTTCAGCTGCCCACTTCAGCCATTACGCACACGGTGTCTGTGATCTCAGCTGTTTGTCACTCTGGACAAAAACTCATCAACTTGTCTCCCTGCAGCTGAGCGTGAGATCGTGCGCGACATCAAGGAGAAGCTTTGCTATGTGGCTCTGGACTTCGAGAACGAGATGGCCACCGCTGCCTCCTCCTCCTCTCTGGAGAAGAGCTACGAGCTTCCCGACGGTCAGGTCATCACCATCGGAAACGAGCGTTTCCGTTGCCCTGAGACCCTCTTCCAGCCTTCCTTCATTGGTATGTTAGATAATCCTCTTATTACGCACATCACTGGATATATTGTGCCAAACTATATCCACCCCTCCTCCTAACACTTCTCGCTCTCACCTGACTAGGTATGGAGTCTGCTGGTATTCATGAGACTGCCTACAACAGCATCATGAAGTGCGACATTGACATCCGTAAGGATCTGTACGCCAACAACGTGCTTTCCGGTGGTACCACCATGTACCCTGGTATTGCTGACCGTATGCAGAAGGAAATCACTGCCCTGGCCCCCAGCACCATGAAGATCAAGGTAACAACAAAAACATTATAATGAATCCCAAAACGTAATACTTTTACGCATGAATTGACAGGAATCTATGAAACACTGGCACTTTACTGATGCACTTTCTCTCCCTCCCTCTTCTCTAGATCATTGCGCCTCCCGAGAGGAAGTACTCCGTCTGGATCGGTGGCTCCATCCTGGCTTCCCTGTCCACCTTCCAGCAGATGTGGATCTCCAAGCAGGAATACGACGAGGCAGGACCCAGCATTGTTCACAGGAAGTGCTTCTAAATCCTCAACCTTCGCAGCTTCTCCATCCTTTACACCTCAAGATATCTGGAGCAAAGGAGGATCAACCTCTGCGGCACTTCAACACACTGCTGTCAATGGACTTGTTGTCTGCCATGTTGGCAATTATATGCATTGTTTTATTATTTTAAAATGTGCATATTTTGTAGCTGTTTGTTGTATGTGTTGCACGGAGAAAGGCTGGGAAATCCAACCCTGAACCATGCATACACCCAAAGAAACCTTTAATAAAAAAATAAGAACAACATGTTGACCAACACATGTGAATGTAAGTGTATATACATATTAATAATTTATTAAAGTCCATTATTTGGTATTTTCGACCCTAGCCTTGTTTTTCTATAAGAGGGGAAATAGTGGGAGAAGCTCGAAAACAAAAGCTTTGAGGGAAACAAAAAAAAAGAAATACTGGAAAATAGTGGGAGAAGCTGAAAAACGGAAGCTTTGAGAGAAACTTACAAATAAATACTGGACGATTTAAATCATAAAGGTACCATTTGGGGGGAATTAATGCCTTCATACTAATGAAAATCATTTAAACATTCAATATCAAGAAATATCAGCAAGAATTGGGGGGATTGGGAGAGTTAACCAAAATCACCAAAATAAATATACCCGGGCTTTATTGACTCAAGAATAACGCTTATGACACCCACTACACCTTAAAGCAGCAGCTGATCCAGTTCGCTGATCAGCCACCAGGGGAAGTTCATATGTCGACAGTGTGGCACAGCCCCCTGAATAATTGGAAGGGTGAGAGGGAGGGAGACAGGGTGTCTCTCTCTCTCCCATCAGACACTGCTGGCAGGGGGCTGCTGGGTGACAGAGGTAGTGAAAGAGGACCTGAAAGCTCCGACAGTCGGAGTTTGACTTGCCAGGAATGTGCCTGGGCAGCAGCAGCTCCGCTTTAGACCAGGCGGATCAGTAGCATGGGACATCCGACACCCGGCTCAGAGTCCCGTTGAGCTGCCTGCCCTGCACGACCATAGGCCTAGCCCCCAGACCATCTTTAGACAAAACTGGACCCTGTGCAGCCCTACCTTATATGCATAGAAGTTCATCAGGTTATCTGGGTGGGTGTGGACTTTAAGCACAATGGAGTGTGCTGGACGCGTCTCAGGCACCAGCCCAGCCTATTATAAGACACCCTTCACGCTTCTTCCTTGACAGCATTTTAATTTCTTAGCCTCTCTACTACAGGTCAATGTTGCCTATATGCCTAAACAAGACTCAGGCTACTTAGTAGGCTACTTTTTGAAGCAATTTGTGTAAAGTAAATTGAACAAGTTACTCAATAATGCTCTTTATCATAATCAGAATTCGGTTACTGCCAAGTGGTTGGCACTTTCAAGGAATGTTGCTTTGGTGTATATGCAAACTGAAAAGTGAAAAAATAAATAAAAAATTAAACAATAGGTACCAACATCAGGTAGGCCTACCCTAGAGTAGAAAATAAGACAATAATGTAAACATACTAGGCTATAACATGTATTAATCAGTGCAGGTTTAAATATAATTTTGTCTTTTTAACCTCTTCTCTAATCTGATATAAATCATCACCAATCAAATCGCTGAAAACCTCCCTGACCGATCTCATTCCTGCCACCCCAGCCCGGGCCACCTGTTGCGCGTGTGTTTGGCTTTTTAAAAACGTCCTCAAGCGGGCGGAGCTTAGAGACAGCCTGTTATTAGGTTATTACACCAGCACCGTGGACGCCATCTGTTCTGCTTTGCTTCCGTGAAATCCGACCTCAGTGTAAGTGTATTTACTGTACACATTTAGACTATTACAGCCCTGCATTTCTGCTGTCAAGCCAGGCACTGTTATAGATGAGCGAGTCGATGAATTGTCAATGAGATTTGACGTTTTGGGCTATTATGTGCGAGCGCTGACAGGCGATTATCCTTGCTTCGAATTCACATATGATTAACAGACGTCTTTAAATAACAAGCATATGTGTCTTCAGCAGCTATTATAGAACAACAAGCAATTCATTAATCATCTGTAGGCCTACGCTGTTACGGTGTTGATATGAAAGGCTACAGTCAAAGATGATGATCATTTTATACACTATATTTTAAAACCTCCGGAAACAAAATAAAACGTTTTCAAGCCATTGGGAAATAACGTGTTAGTGTTTGTATCCCAGTAAAGCCGGGCTTGTTTTCATGCAGTGATTATGAATGAACATTTAATTGGGATATTGTTTAGATCGCAGCAGCCAATCAGAAGACAATACGCTACCTACGTCATCGCGTTGAAGACGTTTCAACTGTTAAAGTTACTGACGATACAATTCGAAATGCAGCCAATTTTAACAGTTAAACTTCAATATAGCATGCGAAAGACATTATATAACTTGTAATCTAATGAAAACTGTACTTTTATTCACCCCAGCTTCTAAAAGAGGCAAATTAACCCCGGGTAGAGGAGGAAGTAGGCGGGTTCAAGCCTCCAGCTGCTCTGCCATTGGTGCATACAGTGTCCGCATTATGGTTTAAATGTCTGGCGGTGATACTAACTGCGTATGAAAACAACGCAGCCAATTTTTACAAGGGCTTTGTTTACGATTCAAACACATTTTGTAATGTGTTACATATCTCATAAACGTTTTATGGGTGTTTCACGATGCTAGCTTTTCATATTTTCCCTTTCGTTGTGTAGCTTTGTCGTATTTGAGTTCAAGATGGTGACCAAGAGGATGCGCTCGGAGTACATGAAGAAATTCAAAGACCCCAAATGGGAGAGCTACAGCAGGTGTTACGAGGAGATGCTGCAGTACAGGCTGACCCGCAGGCTGCTGGAGCAAACGCACAACCCCTGGTTCTGGAGCGGAGGCCCCGACAGTGACTCAGACTCCGGGGCAAGAAGTCCTGCTCCTCCCGGGAAGAACCAGGTCGGAGACGCTCCGGAGGCTGCGGAGCTGGAGGAGTGTGACGGGGCGAGAGTGGACAGACAGCCCGGGCAGCAGAGCAGAGTCCCGGGGACTGTGCCCAGGCTGCCCCTTCTAGAGGAGTATGAGTCTGCAGCACAACAAGGTAAACATCTGCTAAATGATCAGGGTATGGTCAGACTCAGATACTCAAATTCATATTCATAACATCTTTTTTAGCAATGTAATACATTAGTGTAGGTGTCTCACAAAACATTTTTTATGCAAAACCAAATGCATTTTGCAGATTCAGCAGTAAACATCAGACGTACTGCCTGCCCTGAGAGGTGTAACTCACTTTGATAACCTTTTTTCTATATTCCTATAACTTAAAATGTGCCATATTTTAAAGAAAATATTATCAGGTAATTCTTGACAGTTTGCTATAGTAGTTTGAATTCATTAAAATGTTTTACATTTGTTTTGTACATTTGTACATTACATTGTAGTTATGTCGTGTAATCTGATTACATGTAATTGGATGAAACCAAAACATGCATATGTTTTAATGACTGTACAATCAAATGGATTGTGCATGTTACTCAACTGTAGGCCTACTGGTGTTATTCTCTCCTCTCAGACTCACAGCCTGAATGTGTCAGAGAGACAGGAGCATCAGAGGAGGAGAGAGAGCAGCAGACTCACAGGGAACAAAACGGAGGTAACTCAAAACAGAAAACCACTATCCATAGTCAGTGTGCATTCTTCAGTGCCTTGCACAAGTCCTGAGATGGATTCACAAGTGTTCACAGCAACGTTATCTCTGCATTGCATATTTTCTTGCTGATGATCTTCCCCCAAGGAATTTAATGTATGAACATTTGAATTCAGTATTATCAGAGATCTTTCCGTTGCTTTATCTTGTTTTTTTCTTTTCTGTTTGAAACAGGGGTCACTGGAGGAGCTCGACAACTGCAGAGTAAACCCATCAAATCCTCAAAGCAACCATGGCGCTCCCATCGTGTCAGACCAGCACCAACAAAGCAGCCCAAGGACGACAGTAAGGAGAGCAGACATCCTTTCGCTCTGTACGCTTCAGGGGAGAAGGATGCAGACATGGCAAACAGGAAAACACACAATGTTGGCCCTGCAGCTTCAACTACTGAGGTAATGTTTCTGACTGTCCTTCTGGGGTTTTACAATTAAACAAGTAATATTGCAGGAACTGACAATTATGATGTTTTTATGTAGATCCATGAGTCGGCTCTGCGAGCCAAGACCAGGCGGAAGGTGGAGTGTCAGGTCCAGGCTCAGGGGACCGAGCGCCGGAGGGCCAAGTCTGCCAATGTGGACAAGACCGTGAAGTCGGTTAAACCGGAATTCAACCCCTGGCTCACAGAGTACATGCGCTGCTTCTCTGCTCGCTCCCGATAAGACACACACACACACACACACGCACACACACACACACACAACACACACACACACACACACACACACACACACACACACACACACACACACACACACACACACACACACACACACACACACACACACACACACACATTCTCAGCAGAAATACTGACGTCAGGGTGGTTCTAGACAGACATACATAAATTAAGCCATTATTGCCTACCACCCCTTAAGTATAAACACCCATGGATGTAGAGCAGAGCTGTAACAGGATGTAACTTCACTGTGTGGCTTATCACCCCAGATGTGTACAATCAAGTTTTTTTTATAATAGTCAGTTTTAATCTATACGATAAGAACCATTCAAAGGGTATGAGAGATTTTAAATATTATTTAAAATTGACTGTTTGAGTCATGGTATTACCATGTACAGATGTTTCGATTAGAAAGTCTTACATGCATTTGACATACTTTGGTGCACTCCCTTTAAACACAGGCTATATAAAATGTTATACAGGGATATCAAACTACATTGGTCTCACACAGGAGTAATGCAGGCGTGTGACAGCATGTATGCTAAGATTCAGCCACGTTCACATTCTAGCGGTGTGAAATTGTTCTTGTAGATTTAATATCTTTTGTTACACTTCATGGATTGATCCTCCCTGACTTGGTTTAGATAAATCACACTGTACTCAAAGTGTTGTGATGTGGCACATTTTCTCACAAGCTTTTTAAATATCACAATGTTGTTGACTAACAATAGGTTGACAACAACATGTGCAGTTTTTTGTTGTTGAATTGATGTGAGTGTACAGTAGTGATTTGTGACATTTAAAGCCATTGGAGGACTGATCAGTGTGTTTCTATGTGGTGCAATGTAATATAAAAACACACACAGCTAATGTAGGTAATTTAAAAACATAACAATCGATTTTTGAGACCAAATGTATTTTATCATTACTGTAACAGATTATTCCTTAAGACCAAAAGTTGAACCGTAACAACAATGTACATTTAGCTGATGCACTTTGATGATTAGCCACCTTTGTGATGTTTGTACAGAATATCTTGCTAGGTTTCCTTGTAATTTGCTTATTCTTTAATTCAGTGTAAATATGTTTGTATGTTTGTTAACATGAGCAAAAAGTCATTTTTTGTAATTGATCTGATCCATTCAACAAAAATCTGTGCCATAAAATCTTGAGAAAAGTATTTTCTCCTTTGAACAAATATAGTTTCAAATGTGGACATTTTGCAGCTAAAAAGGGGTTTTGTGCTTCAAATTTGAACCATTTACACATTTATCTAAATCTTAATGTTTTGTTGTTGAAACTCTGAGTTCAGTATTACTTTATTTACTTTTGTAATGATGTAGATGTTCAGTCTTTTAAGGTTTAACTGCAATGTAGTTCAGAGAAAAGATGTGAAGATGTGACATTTTGTGCAATACTATGATAAAACCAGTTGTTTTTTATATGTGGTGAACTTTGACTGTCACAAACAGTGGAACTGGAACAAGATAGTTAGTTAATGATTTTCTCTCCAATAGTTAGTTACGGTAACTTTATAAGAAAGATCTTCTTAATATGTACTTAATAATTTACTGATGAAAGGCAGTATGTAAAAGTTCCAAAATACTGTAAAACGTAATGATCCCTAGATGTAAGGCTTTTAAAATACTGTGTATATGCTGTATTTGTTTTACAGGTAGACTTAATTATGTGGTGCAAAGCTTTAATAAATCACTTTTCCATACGAGTGTTCAGTGTTGTCTCGTTATCTCTACCATGTTACACTATTATTCAGAAAACGTACTCCCTTTAAAGTAAGATATCAATAATGTAATGGAATATTCTCAAAAGATTGGTTCAAACCAACAAAAACTGCTTTTCAAGGACGATTCGTCATTTGTTGTATTTCTTTATTTTAAAAACATTTGTTTTTATCATACACAATAAATAAAAAATCCATGATATTAATAATGACACAAGAAAAACAGACGTCCATAAATAAACAAAGGACCTAATGTGATAAACACAAGACGGCAACGTGACGTGGAAAATCCAAAGTCACAATCAGATGAACTCTAACATGAAATATTTCTACAGTTTGAAGAGTGATTGATTTAAAAAATGAAATGCATAATTGTCAAGGGGCAAAAATGTAAAAAAATACAAAGAAAAAATGTTGTAATGCTTGAACAGACCAATGCAAAACACACCTTTTTAAATCTAGATATTCAAATTAAGACTTTTGTTGAGTTTAATGTGGCTGAACTTAACATTAAGAATCTTTGGAGACAAATAAAAATCAAACACACATCAGGCAGTTTTATACCATTGCTAAAACTTGAAATGCATTCAGTTCGTATTTCCTAACAGCTGGCAGCAGTAAGAGAGATATTTATTTAAACAGGCATCATTTTTAAAAGAGAGAGTTCAGTCATTATTTCAAACGTTTGGGTAAAGGAGTGTGTAACACCTCTGAGTGTGCCATAGTAAATTCAAAAGATGACGTGTAAAAATTACATAAATCTGCCATAAAAGCCAATTGTATGATCAGAATTTTCTTTCTTTATCTGTGAGCTTGAATGATAATAAAACTGTTAGTACTTAACATAACTCACATGAGCTTGTCCCATTCACAAATAAACATATTCTCCAAACAGTACTGCCCAGCTATACTGCTTACTAGTTGCCAGTGTATGTAGCTTTACATGTTAATAAGACAGTGGAGCATTAAACAGATGCTAGATATGATATCTACTTTAATATACATATAATTTCTCTTCATAATCAAATACTCTGATATTCTGTTGGAGAAAACATGCGTCAGTCTCTATATACAGAAACACTGTACAGTGTACAAGATGCAGTCGGGGGGTGGGGGAAGAGGTGTGAGGAGGTATCAGAGAGACAGATGGGATGTAAACAGTGGGTAAGGTAGTGGGATGAAGTGTCATTCGGCAGCTGCATCGCCCGGGGCACTGTACAGGAGAGAGAGTGTGTAGGAACACAGGGAGTGCAAAATGTACAGGCAGAAACAGTACACTGTTAGTGGTGGGTTTAAAAAGTGTGAGCAGGAAGGCAATCAGAGCAGCTGGGTGGAGAGGGAGAAATTAAGTAGGGAAGGATTTTAAATATATATATTTACGTGGTTAAAGGAATAGTTTAACAACGGTTTTCTTGGCAACAGTTAGATGATCAAATCCATAACTCATGTCTATGCATCAAATATCAATCTGAAGCTGAGCAATGTACATGGTATTTATTGGTTGTTTAACTTGAATGCACAAAGAAAGGAGATTCCCTTAAAAGGAGCAGTGTGTAGGATTTAGTGCGATATTGTGGTGAGAAATGTTCACCTCTCCTCCCCATTTTTACTAGTATGTAAAAGAGACTACAGAGGCCTTCAGGTGCATACTCGCAAAACAATTTAAGTTGCCACTTTCAAGTAAAACACCTCCTTCGAGCCAATGTTGGGTTTGTCGGATCTGTGCCACTGTAAAACATGGATGTATTATGAGAAATAGTAACATCTTTTGAGGCAGGGCCCTACTGATTCATATAAAAGTGGTTCAGTGGCGCATGATAAAGGTTATACGAATTGGTATAAAATAACTCTTCTGTATGAACAGCAGCACGGAAATAACCCTGGATTTGGCCATCAGTGATTTTTTTACAAGTTTTAGACATAGGGGCTGTTTAAGTGTTTGTACTGGAAAGTTGTTTCACCTAAAAATAATATTATATTCCTTGTATGCCATTAATCCCCTTAAATCCTACACACTGTCCTCAATCGCGTTGTATATTGTTTGTTAAAAATAAACAAATAAACTTCCCAAAATGTAAACTTCCCCTTAAGTACTCCAGATTGAATGTCGATGGGATTAGTGTTAAGGGAGAACACTTAAACTTAGATTTGGAGGTAAGCAGGTGTGAGGGCAGATAGTCAGTAATTCACGTCCTGATTGGAGGGTTGGGGAAAGATTGGTCCAATAGTAGAGCAGTATGTTGGATGGGGGGGCGGTCTCTTGTTACCACTGAGGGGGATGTGGCTGGGAGGTGCAGCCATGACAACAAAGCAAAAGGTCAAAGGTCAGAGAGGAATCACCAGCATAACAACCTGAACCCTGGGTCCCCTGTGGCTGTTCTTCTCCTGGTCTTCAAAAACCCGTCTGAAACACACTGATCACAAGAGACATTATCACATAGGTGTAAGTGAAGGCAAGGAGTGGCTGTGTGCAGCAGAAACACACAGTGCTGAGAGCAGTGAGCTGAATGTCAAGTCACCACAACCAGCTAATAAGCTCTGGATAAATATCATAAATCTGAAAAAAAATACCTAATTTCATGCACACACAGTACAGACACACTGGCCTTTTCTGAGTGTGTTACTGGGCGCGTCCACTAGCAGCCACACTCCTGGGTGCCCTGAGGCTGAGCGCGACGAGGAGAACGAAGCTGTCGTAACGCAGCGTCGCCGTACTGGATTCCTGACCCCATCCTCTCTGGATCCAGCTCCCCTGGAAATGAGAGACAGGAAGAGACAGAGATGTGAGAAAGTGTTCCTCATGTAAGGATCTTCACCAACTCTAGAAGATGGTATTTTTCTTAAATACTTATTTTTGAGTAATTAAGTGAGGTTGTTTAGGGCTATAACTCTGCTTCAGTTCAGGGTCTGGAGTGATAATACCTAAGCCCGCCTTGTTGATCCTGTCAGGATAAGAGGGGATTCTGGGGTGTGGGCTAAAGGTGAGGATCTCAGTTCCTACCTGACTCTATCTTGTTAAGGATTTTCCGAGCGCACTGGACAAAGGCCTCTTCGACGTTTTCCCCTGTTAGAGCGCTGGTCTCCAGAAACATCAGCTCTGACACACACACACACAATCACTTTGAGCAGCATCATCTTTACAGAACAGAAGCAAACTGTAACAATTTCAGAGATACAAGTTCCCTGGCTATTATTAGAGTTTGTGACAGAATCTGTCAAAGCATGGCCCTTTGATCACGCAGTTCTGAGCCTACCGTTCTCCTGAGCGAAGCGTGAAGCCTCCAGGAACGTGACCTCTCTGTCTGCATCCAGGTCCTTCTTGTTTCCACATAGGATGATGACGATGTTCTGACTGGCCAGCATCCTGGCATCGCTCAGCCACGTGGTCAGGGCGTTGTACGTCTCTCGACTGCAGAGAAAGAAGGGAGACATTTTAAAAAGAAAAAGGGTACTTTACACAAAGGCAATCTGAAAAGGTGTCCAAGGATTTTACCTGGTGATATCATAGACTAGCAGAGCTCCTGCTGCTCCTCTGTAGTAACTCCTGGTCACGGACCTGACCCGCACAAACCAAAAAACAATAAACAAACAAACAAACAAACACAAAAATGAATTCATAGTCTATATCAGCAGGTGGTCAGATGATACGGTATATGATAGGGCCTCAGGGGACCCAATGATTCCTACACTTTTTTTTGTATCCTTATCCTCTTTTATGTCACTCCCCTTTTCAAGCATAACATTTTAGCTTAACAAAAAAAGCAAAGGTGAAACTAAGACATAAGAGACCGTTGTCTTACGTTGTTGAATAAATGTCAATGTTTACACCTGTTCCTCTCAACTTTTTTACTTAAACATTTATCTCTGTGACCTCTGTCTTTCAACAGTGATCAAGTAAATATCAGTATGAGTGGAATAGGAATGACATGCACAGGGTACAAAATGTGTTGAGATAGAGGGTAACAGAAATAAATATGCCTTTGAACGTGGAAAGTTATATTAGGATGTTTCCATACCTGAACCTTTCTTGTCCTGCAGTGTCCCAAATCTGCAGTTTGACCATTTTGTTGACCACACTAATAATCTTAGAGCCAAACTCGACTCCAATTGTGTGGTTGGATTCATCCTTAACTGGAAAACACAATAAAACAAGGTTTATTTTTAGATAACTGGTGCCCTGCAAGAGACAATGAATACCATTATGTGTACCTAACACATATGTAGAGACACTTTGTTTTCTCTGACCTACATTTAATGTTTATATGTGTTGATTACTCAACACTACAGTACTGTAAACTGGAGGTCAGAGCAACTGTCTGTTAACAGTAAATAATGAGCAGTGTGTTGCATCTTCCTGACTTACATCTCTTCTCTATGAACTGGTGCAGCAGACAGGACTTGCCGGTTCCAGCATTCCCAATCACCAGGAATTTAAACAGGAAATCTGAAGTGAGAAAACACAGAAATATTGGTGTTAACATTCAACCCAAGACAACATTCGTCCCTTAAGACAAAGCGATCATGATTTCCATAACTAGATCTTGAGATGTGCCAATATTATTTGACAGTAGCTAAACACAGTTATGTATTAATCAATTGCAGTAAGGACATGTGAAAGATATGTTTGTGACAATGTAGAAACAATGTCACTATTATATAGTTTGTAGAGAGACCAGTTATTTGTAGTTGTAAAATACTATGCTCAATACCATTATTTTATAACCACATTTAATTCTGGGTGATAATAAAATAAAAAATAGTGTGCAAAAGCCCTTATTTGATTTTCTAACTCTGAAGTAATGAACACTAATGCCCTTTTAAATTCCATAGAATACACAGAAACCGAAAACAAAAAAATTCAGCTTCAAAATGCACAATTATAATCAGCTATGCTTTACACACTTAACAGCTCTCATAAATAAGGATGCTTCAACATCCTGATCATCCTTATATCAGATGGTGATGAAATGACATCATTCCCTTACATACCATGGTTATAACATGTATTCCTACAACGCTTGTATTATGTGTTTTGAGCAGGACACACAGCTCAGGCAGATCTTCATCCTCAGCCCTGTCTCCTGGTGTCAGCTTCCTGTCCATTCCGCTAACCTCTATTGGTATTTTCAACCTTACAAATTCGATCATTTTGTCCGCACAGGCAGAGTAAAAACTACTGTGTAACCTCTGAGGTATTACTTGCGCTGACAGGACGTTTTAAGGCCAGCAGCCCTCGGTTAGCCTGTCAGCTATCTGTTTACGATGAGAAAAGCCCTCTCGGCACACCTGCCTCATCCCCTCTCTGTGAGACGTTAACAGTGGCCACTAGTGAAAGCTGCATCCTTACCGTATGACTCCGACATCGCCAGTGTGGCGTTTTGACCGCAACACGAAGGAAAAGAGAGATAGTAGTTGACAGATGGATAGCTAGCTAAGTAAAGGAAAATAGTCCTGTGGATGATTTCCGCGGATTCCAGCTGATTCCCCTCCGACTTCCCGTAAGCGTTTTTTTCTTCAAAATAAAAGACGGGCAGAGCTTTGTGATGACTTCAGACCGTCGCAGGGTGGTGCTGTTTAACCAATAGTGTGTTGATGCTTTTGACACAGCCTTATTTCAAAACCAGTTTTCGAAAGTATAAGCATATTCTAAAATAATATTTAAATGTCCAAATAATTGTACCACTAACAACTAAGACGTGCCTGAGGAGATCAGGGCTGCACAATCTGTCAGCTTTTTGAACTCACTTTTCAAGGTTCAAGGCTTTTTGGTGGTGTTAGTCCGGATGCTGCGGTACCGCCTGCCAGACAGCAGCAGACAGAACTTTTAAAACGCACTTTGTTTTACTTTTAGTAACAAATGCTTTATGTGATTTTTATTTCATTTTTCATTGATTCTTTTCTATCTGTTTTACTCTGTGTTTTATGTTTAGATGCTGTTGTTTAGCTCACTTGCTCTATGTGTAATTTAACAGGTGTTCTGTCTTATGTGAAAGCACTTAACTATGTAACTATGTTTTAATTGATGCTATATAAATAGTTAAAAGTATAGTATAGTTTAAAATGTATTATTATTATTATTATTATAATAATCAATAATAATGATTTATCCCCCTACACTCCAGGCCAGAAGGCGGCGGTTATGTACCTTAGAGTTTGCCCACTGCCACAAACCCTCACAAGGAAACGAAGAAGAAGAAGAAGTGGCTAATGAGCTAGCCTAGCTGCAGGCTTTATTTAGGGAAATATGGCTGCTGTGCTCCCCGTGAGACCGCCCTGCGACAGCAACCCCGCTACCCCTGGAGCACAATCCATAAAGGTGACGTTTATTCCCGCATATAGTAACAACTATACTTCTCTTCACGGAGCTCTGCACGGTTGCTTGCTCAGCTAACGGCTAGTTGGCTAACTAACGGCTACCTGCGTCCATGAATGACAAACTGATGGCGACGTTAACATCACCCCTTTGTTTTCAACTGTGTGCTGAATGTTAGGGGTGGTTTGTTTTCTCTGTTTCGTATCTAATGACATTTGTTTACATGATTTATGTCCCCATAAGAAACGACAAATTGTGTTTTTATGAGTGCTTTCACAGCGAAAACGTTTAGCTGTGCCTTTGCTTGCAGTGGTGTAAAGTAACTAAGTACATTTACTCAAGTACTTTACTTAGGTACAGTTTTGAGATACTTGTACTTTACTTGACTGTTTACATTTTGTTCTACTTTGTACTTCTACCCCATTACAATTCAGAGGTTAAAAGTGTACTTTATACCTTTAGTTAGTTTAGTTAGAGATTTTGATTAATATTATGACATTTAATCAACACTTAGTTACACCTGGATTACATCTCACAACCTACCCTGCAGCATACAACGGAATTAAAATGAGCTTCACCTTTACCAGCTGTGATCATGGCTGTGATGGACACAGATAAAAACAGTTTGTAAATGCAGGAATGTTTGGTGGAGTTGACCAACATTACATTACAGTTTATTATTAATAAAATATGTCTACATTTTCCTCTGTAGGAGGATGTAATTGAAGAGGAGTCCAATGATGGCAGCCAGGTACCGAAGAGAAGGAGGATTGGTTCGGGTGACAGCTCTCGAAGCTGCGACACCTCCAGTCAAGACCTGGGGTAGGTTTGCCTGATACTTTGCAGTGTAATATTAGTTGGCATTTGTAAAATACATTTGTGGCATTGTAATTTACAAGTTTTATCCCAATAAGATATACATTTATTCTTTGGAAACCATTATCCCTTGAATCTCAGTGTATTTCACAATACTATTACGATTTGATTTGATTCAATTCAGAGGCCTGCCATGATGATATTATATCAACTCACAAAAAGCATTCAATCCTCTACTTTTCTTGCCCCTTGTATTCCTGTTTCAGGCCGACATATTTCCCAGCAGAGAACCTGACAGAGTACAAGTGGCCATCAGATGACACAGGAGAGTATTACATGCTGCAGGAGCAGGTCAGCGAGTATCTGGGAGTCACATCCTTCAAGAGGAAGTACCCTGGTAAGACTGAAGCAAACATCTGAAACAGTTCTGCATCTGTTTAAGTGTTTGAGTGATACTCTTTTCTTTAAAAATAATAACATTGATTCTATATTTTAAACTTATTGATTTGCTATTTTTTATTTCAAAGTAATATTAATGGAATGACGATAGAAGTAAAAGGCATCGAGAAAGAGTACACTGCCTTCACTACTAGTAGCTATGCATATTTATTTATTTAGTCTGCCTAATGCTTTAATGACTCTTCTGTGCTCATGTTCTGATCTGATGGATAGTAAGCTATTCATTGACCAGTTGTGTTGTTTCTATTTTTCACTCTGTAGATATGGAGAGAAGAGACTTGACCCACAAAGAGAAGCTTTACCTACGGGAACAGAACGTCATCACTGAGACACAGTGTACTCTGGGTAGGAACCTCCTCTTTCTCTTCATCATTTCTACAATTTTCTCCAACAGATAAAAGTGTAACTTTCGTTTGTTTCCAGGTCTGACAGCTCTGCGGAGTGACGAGGTGATAGATCTGATGATAAAGGAGTATCCCATCAAACACGCTGAGTATTCAGTCATACTGCAGGAGAGGGAGCGGCAGAGAATAGCTAAAGAGTACTCTGTACGTTTATAAACTAAAATAAGTAACCCAGGGCTCATCATTACTGTGACATTTATTTAGAAAAGAATGCATTTAAAAAAAGTCCTTCATGTAAATGTCTCTTACAGTCTTTGTCTGTTTTATTTCTAGCAAATGCAGACACAGAATCCTCAGAAGGTGGAGGCCAGCAAGGTTCCCGAGTACATTAAGAAGGCAGCTAAAAAAGCTGCGGAGTTCAACAGTAACTTCAACAGGGAGCGTATGGAAGAGAGGAGAGCCTACTTTGACCTCCAGACACATGTAAGTCCAACCACAGAAGACGGATACATGTTTTGAAGTTTATTTTTTTTATATATAAACTTTATTTTCCTTTTTCTTAAACAACACATACAGTTTCAGTTTCAGTGACAAAAAGAAAAAGTGCAGGCTGTCCATTTTTTGTTATCCCCCCCCTACAGAATAAGACTAGATTAATAGTACAAAAACATTTTAAAATAATAAACAAACGGATGGTTGAAAGCACAGCACACAAAAAAAAACATGACAAGGTCGAGATACATGTTAATCATGGTTGACTATAGAAAATCTGTGTTCTAATTCAGTTTTAAAAAATATATATAAATCAGTTAGGGAAGAGTAGGCAGTTTCAAACTTTCCATGTACGTTTAAAAATTGGTGCCATGTCCTATAGAATTTACAAGTGGAGCCACCCAAAGTACACTTTATTTTCTCCATGTGTAGAAACATCATTTTTTTATTTAGCCTTTATTTATACAGGTGTAAAATCTCATTGAGACACAAGGTCTCATTTGCAAGAGAGACCTGTCAGTGGTAACACTACCACACAAAGTTACAGACAGGACACTAAACACAGAGGCAACACTAAAATACAACATCGTAAAAAAAGTAGTCATTGAAATCCATATAAAGTATTCAGGTAAAGCAGGTGCAAACACCCACAGATGATTTCTCCAGCTTTTTTTTAATTAGTTTAAAATCCGTGATGGGTATCAAACTGGTCAGCTTAAGTTCCTACTGAAGTGTGTTCCAGGTCGAGGGGGCAGAGTATGATATGGCTTTTTTCCCAAGCACCGTGCGAACTGAGGGGACGGACAGAGTGATGTAATGTTGAGATCGTAGGCTATAGCTGTACTGTTTATGTGATATGTAAGTGGATATGTAGAGGGGCAGCAGTCCAAGCATAGCGGTATAGATGAGTTTGTACCAGTGCAGTGATCTGCGCATTGATAATGATGTCCAGTTGACTAAAGAGTACGGCGTGCAATGGTGTGTGAGGGGTTTGCAGTTGGTTATGACCCTCAGAGCCCATCATAAGTTCTGTCACGCAATGGAGTGGGAGACGCCTCCTGCTTCCACCTCATACGTATAAGTCGCCTCGCAATTAGGGAAGCAAAAGCAACAGCGTTTGAATAATGTCTGGAAAGGACAATGTCGTCCGGGACGACTCCAAAAATTGCAGTAAGAGGAGAAGGGGTACATTTTACTTTAAAGATCTTAGAAAACGTATCAAATATAGATGTCCAATAATTATGAAGATTTGGACATGTCCAGAAAGTATGGATGAGGGACCCTGTTACTGACTTACATCTGTTGCATAAGGGATCTACCCCTGGATAAATCTTTGCTAGCTTTTCCTTTGATAAATGAAGGCGGTGTAATACCTTCAATTGGAGAAGGCCATGTCTGGCACAAATTGAGGAAGAGTGAACTCTTTGAAGGATGGATTGCCAATTATCATCTGTTATTTCAAATGCTAGAGCATCTTTTTTGAAGTTTTTTGTAGAGGGTTTTAGAAAATAGTTTTGTGTCATTTTTTTACATACATAGTTTTTTTGTGTGGGTTTTCACAGATCATCCAGGTGCCCCAGGGCAGGTTCAAGGTGCTGGCTCCAGAAATGACCAAGGCGGGGCCTTATCCCGTGGCTCTCATACCAGGACAGTTCCAAGAATACTACAAAAGGTACACACTTGATGCTTTATAATTGACCTCTTTTGTATTCAAGATAACCCACATGTTACCTTCCTAAGTGGAACTATGTTCTAGTTAGGTTGTCAGCCTGTATTATTTATTGCTGTTGTTAATGTTGGCTCAGTCAGTAGGGGCTTGGACTGGGAGCTGTAGGGTCGCCGGTTCAAGTCCCCGACCAGACCTAAAAAATTGAGTGTGGACTGCTACTTGGAGAAGTCCCAGTTCACCTCCTGCCCTGCCGTGGTGCCCTTGCGCAAGGCACCGGACACCCCCCTTCCCCCCTCACTCCCATTGCTCCCCGGGCGCTGTACAATAGCTGCCCACTGCTCCTAGTACTAGACTCCTGGTACTAGGATGGGTTAAATGCCGAGAACAA